CCCCCAAAACCCCAAAACCCCAAAACCCCAATGGGGGAGGAGGGGGTGGAAAGGGATAAAGGTGTGGGACTGGATTTTGGGAAAATTCAGAGGAAGAATGGAGCAGGGGTTCAAAATTTGCTCCTGTAGAAATGGAGCTGATTGTGAGCCCCAGCTCCATTTTGGCCATCCAGTAGATCTTGCCTCCACCGTCGCTGCCAGCTCATCCTCCAGCATCTCTATCACCTGCATCTTCAGGATCTTCAGCTCCGAATCCATCGTCGTTAGCGGAGGCATCATCATTGAAGTTAAAGTTGTCTTCGTTACCTAAGTCAGCAGTAAAGAGAAAACATTTGATGAAGCTATTAGGATGAACTTTAAAATGCATCTATAAATGTTTCTTGAAACTCCCTTCATACAAGGCATTAAACCCAATTTGCCTAACCTTTGCTGCTTCTGAACCTGATCAGCTCTTTAGTACCTAAGAGCATTTCCCATAGTTCTGGAGACCACAAAATCTTTTATAAAATTTTGTCCAAAGCTAACATCTCCAGCTTTCAACTGGAGCAGGGATTTGGAGGAGTCCGAGCGAGCAAGAGAGTGCGCACAGATTGGGAGAGAATCAGGAAGGAATCTAAGGAGACCACTGAGCTAGTGACTGAGTGGGGTTAGTGGAGAATAGAGAGAGGGAGTGGATGAGATAGATTGAGGGTTGTGGGGGTATTTAAATATTTGATGTTTGATACTTTTGAATAGAATTGAGGTTTTTAATGAAATTTTCCTATAAAATCATATATATATATCCTAAAATATAAAATAATCATCCCAACCCCCATTTCCATCCATTCCACCGAAACTTCAACCCTCCCTCCAAACTCCTTGATCCACCTCCACCCACCCTCCCCACTCAGCTCCAGCGAAGCTGACCTTCAGACTTTGAGTTCAAGCCGAGTGGGTCTTGCCAGAATAACCAATAATTTTAGACTTTGGGAATATAAACCCAATAGGAGAAAACTAGGCTGTGGTGGCTCTCTCAGGTGGAACAGTTGCAATCTTGGCCTGGTTGTGCGGGAGGGAGTAACTGTGGGTGTGATGGGGGTGTCAATAAATTAGTGTTTAAGAGAATTTTTTCAAAAGTCAACTCCTGATGGAAAGCTACTTGTGATTAGTAAGTTTGAGAAGGGATATCCTTCTGCTGGGATAGGTCTCTTTATTGGGAGTCCTTGATTTGGTCATATTCTTATTAGGAACAAAGAGTTCAAAATATATTAGGAGGAACGAGACAAAGCTGAATACAGTGGCCGGGATAATGACTCTGAAGAATTTTAAAATCTAATCAATGAACTTTCTAAATTGGGTATGAAGACTTGTTGAACCAGATCAACTTTAGCTTGATCTGTAATTTAGAATGAAGCTATCTGATTGCTGTCTTGAAGATATGCAGGCTTGACAATGTCGAAATTAAAGATAGGTTTGTTAATAATAAGGAGATTTGTAATTCTTAAAAGTATTATTCTAGACAAAATAGTTTAGCATCACTACTAGCTTCAAGGCTTGGATTCTAAGGTACATTCCTCAAACGCTGGGATTTGAATAGGAGACTAATATTAATTTTTATAAATCAAGATAGACATATCTTGCTGGGGTTTTGGGGTTTTGGGGTTTTGGGG